GTATTTAGAGCCTAAGAACCACACTGGGATTCGTGAGAGATTGTCTCACGAATCATTCATTTGTCCAGATTGTGCAAGTCAGACCACGAACGAGCTACAGTCTCACCAAGAGCTCCCCCGACAACAGAATCATACCTTCACACAGTATCCTTTGTTTTAACAGAGGGCAAACCTAAGACTTGGCCATGTGGGGACTATTGCTACATGCTATATACTACTTTCAGCAAAAACAATTTATTGCATTGTTCAGTTCGTATCTTCAATCTCTTGAGAGCCAACATGCCCCTCAGTTTTTAATATATGAAAAAATTTTTTCTCCTGACCAAGTAAAACTACTTTTTTAAATGTAAGAATTATGAAAAAAAAAAAAAAAACACTCTATTTCTCCAGGTTATAGCTTTATTTATAGGAATGTTCAGAACTTTAAGTTCAAGCTTTCTTATGCCAAGTGTATTATCATAACTAACTTCCTTTTCTGCTGCACATGGCTCTTATGTTCTCACTCTTATTTAGTGTCTTATTTTAAGGAACATCAATGTCTTTGGGGAAAAGGTGGGTTATGATAACAAACTACACACCGTAGTTAACAGAGGAGTTAGGCATTATTAAAAAAAAAAAAAAAAGTTTTAAGACTGAGGACAAGTGGGTAAAAGACTAAATACTAATAACCATTTAAGTTGAAAACAAAAAACATTTCTTGCAGGGTTAAAAATTAGGGCACCTGGGGCGCCTGGGTGGCTCAGTTGGTTAAGCGACTGCCTTCGGCTCAGGTCATGATCCTGGAGTCCCGGGATCGAGTCCCGCATCGGGCTCCCTGCTCAGCAGGGAGTCTGCTTCTCCCTCTGACCCTCCCCCCTCTCGTGCTCTCTCTCTCTCTCTCATTCTCTCTCTCAAATAAATAAATAAAATATTTAAAAAAAAAGAAAAAAAATTAGGGCACCTGATTACACACTAAACTTGGAAGAACAAACTGTAATTGTATCCCTATAGTTCTAGAAGCAACATGCAGAGTAAGTGGTCTGATGTTGTCGCGGTGAAAGGGAGCCAAAGGTCAGACAACCTCCTCCCCTTTTCTTCCTCTAAATCAGAATGCACACAAGTCCATAAAGAGTTTCCACACAGAAATTCTGTCATAAATCTCTGCTGAACAATAATGCCTGGCTACCTCTCTTCTTCACATTTCAACAGCCACCATCTAAATCATATTTTGTGCAAGAGAGTAACTAGGTAAAAAAATGAGAATGAAAGAAACATCTTTGTTTGGCCCTTTGGCCCTCATTGTCTGGACCACGGTATAGTCTTAACACCACAGTTTCTACCCCAGAGCTCCTGCCTTCTCTTACAGGACTGTCTTTATTGGAAGGTAAGAAAAGGATTTAGGAAGTTTTTTTAAAAGCCTCAAGTATCCTTTTATTATAACCTCCCTAAAATGTATTCTTCAACCAAATCAATGAATGGAGTGGTTAGCGATGCCCCTGAAACGAAAGATACAAGGGAATGCATCTACCTCTCTTAGTCACCTGACAAAGTGGAATTACTTGTCCTCCTGGCATAATTCTTTACCTGCTCATGATCTTGGATAAGCTGTGGTATATAATGAAAACTTAATATCCCATTTATTCTTAAGTTCACATTAAGTGACCCACAAAATATTTGCCCTAAAACAAATTTTACTTTTGTAATTTACTAGTAAGCTTTGGGGGGGGGGGAAAGAAGCCTCTGAATTAGAAAAAAATCAAACCTTTCCTATATGTTTTATGTTGTGTCTTCTATAAACTATTAGTGATTAATGTTAAGTTATAATAGCTGTCTGATATTTGTTCAGTAACATTACTCACCCATCTGAACACACCTGATTGCCTGTAATTTTAACGACAGATCATAGATATATTTCCCCCCAAACTGACATTTCACTTTATGTAATCAAATTTAAGTGCAAAAGACCCACTTCTGTTGCAAAAATGTTTATGTATTCATTATAGATTGAACATAAGAGGAGGAAGAAGTCCCACATTTAGTGTTAATCCTCATATTTCCAAAACACTACATATAGCAATTACTCCTGTGGTAAGGCTTCAGGCTCATCAGCAACTCTGTAAGGTGCTCACAGCATAAAATATCTTCCCTTACCTAAGCAGATGAGTCACAGAGCCAGAGTCTTGAGTATTACATCGCTGCCATCTTTACCTGGTATTTTTAATCTCCAAAGAACTTTAGCTACAACCTCATCAGCAAATGTTTCAAGCAAAGTGCTCTATCAAAGTAATTTCTTCCTAGAGAGGAAAACAGGCAGGGAAGATGTAAGGGGAGAAAAGATAAATTTACCTGCATCAATTTTCTGGAGAGCTCATTAGTGAGGAACTCTTCTTCTTTCTCATAATTTACAGCAAGGGTTTCTTTCTCCTTCTGCAAAGCCTGGATCTTCTTGAATAAAGTGTTACTGATGAATTCTTCCTCTTGCTCAGCCCTGGCTTGCTGTTTAAAAAAAGGAAAAAAAAATAAATTAAAAGAGCAACAACAACAAAAAATATGTTAAGGAAACAGGAAATTTATTAATTAAAATATGGTTCTTCTTTGCAGAGAGGGCACCCATTTTAATGAGATTTCTATTTTTAACTGTGAACCAATGCACCCCAGGATGCATAAACCAGAGGGGCTGAGTAACAACCCTAAAAGCAAATCTGGCTATTCCCCCAAAGGGCCTCCCTGTACTAAGCATGGCCCCTCTTCTTAAAGTGATGTTTCAAAGACATTAATAAAAACTGTTTTACAGTTTTTAGAATCAATCCCAAGGCAATCACTAGACTACAGAGAACTCGTCAGATGGCAGGCAGGTCCAATTCTGGGGTATGTGAATCAATTTGTGATAACTCTGCAAGTCACTACATCTCAAAGGTTTATAGTTAAAATATCTAGGTAACATGTTTTACTAAAGCAGAGAAGTTCAACTTGCTTAAAAGTAAACTCATGTCACCTCTTTAGGGTGTTACTGAAAGGGTTTGGATATGCAATTTTAAAAGCAATGCAGATCTACATGGATTTGGTGACATGCTCAATGAATAGTGATTGTAAGGAAATATACAAGTGGCTAGAAAGTATTACTGAATTAGCAGGAATTCAACCAGTGAAAAGTAAGGGTGGAGGAAAGGAGTTTTATTTTTTACTTTATTAATTTCCCACTGGGAATTTTTTGGAGGTGAGGCCAAGGACAGGCATAACTGGATTTTAAAAACAGAAGAAAAGAGGGTCAGGATAATTCAATGGAGATGAAAATATTCTTCCATAGCCCCCCCCCCCATGGTATATTTTAACAGAATAAACAGAAAAACCTAACCTTCCTTGAAGGAAATTAATCTTTTCAGAAAAAGAAAACTTGTTTCCAGTGAGCTCAAGTCTACTCAAAGCACTTTTTAAACCACATCATTTTGATGCACTAATCCCAAATAATGCATTCCTGTTTTATCAGCTAAGTCGAAGGAGAAAGAGCTCTATCGATTCCAAGCCACCAGCACCTGTCACTTACAATAATACGAAAGCCAGAGGGCAGGAGACAAAAGGGCACCAGCACGAAATAATTACCACCTTTTATTGTAAAACCTCTGACAACCATCCCCAAGTCCGGCGGTTTAGATTTCTGTATGTATTCACTTGCTTCCCCAGTGCCCGCGCCCTAACAGCCACAGTTTCTGGGGAGCCTGTCCTCTGTGCGCCCCATCTCTGTGGCCGAAAGGAAGCACCCTAGTCCCCAGAACTGCCTGTCAAGTAGTTCTACAAAAGAGAGCCACACGGAGTAACTTCAACTGAAAAACAGAGCTACACAAAAAGTGGAAACTTTGGGAGAAGGTCCAGCTCTCGAGTTCTTGAAGAAACTACCTGGGATAGGTCAGGAGAACTGAGCATCTAAGAACACATCTCAGCTAATAAATGCTTCTTTCCATCCAAGAGCACCCAGGGAGAGGGTAGGTTCCAGGTGGCTCCCTCACACCTGGGATTTTGTTAGCCCTTCCTAGTGCTCTCCACCGAGGTCCAGAAAATCTGCTGAGGACTGCTGCTTCCCCTCCCCCCTTGAAATGACTCCCCACTCCTCTTTTAAAACTCACATCCATCCAGGTGTCAGTACTGGTGCAATAGGCAGGAATCCAAAGTATTTACAGAGGCACACTTGACGCATATATCCAAGCCCGCAATCTGTTCAAGCTACTTGTTTTTCTGCTTTTGACTGACAATGTCCTACATGATTTGATTTCTGATTATCCTAAAAGTTACAGAACAGAAAGGTAGAGAGGGGCTATAATGCTAGTGACTCTACACTTAATTATTCAAAAGGGTGTTCGCCATAAATTATTTTCGTTATCAGGTCAGACTCAACTTCTTATGTGTGGCCACACGCTCAGTATTTTAGACAAATGGTGTACCTGATCACAAGCAGTAAGAAAGCCAGACTCAGGCTTAGCAGACCACCCTCCCCTTTGCACTGGGGCCTGGAAGCAAGAAGCTGGAAGTAAGGGATAAGCCCTAAGTGTTTGTTCATGGAGCTTCCACCCTACCTCCCCCTTCATCTAACTATTAAGTTACAGGGACAACAAATTTCAGTGTAATATAAAACAGAACTCTGCGATAAAAAGTAGATTTGTTTGCCAGGGGCTGGGGGAGGGGGGTGCGTGGGAGATGGGGAATGACTGCCGCTAATGAGTGCAGGATTTCTTTCCGGGGCGATGGAAACGTTCTGAAATTAGTGCTAACAGTTTACACAACCTTGTGAATATACTAAAAATCAATGAGGTGTACACTTTAAAAAGGTAGATTTTATTGAATGTGAATTATATCTCGATTAAGAAAAAGCACTCTGATAATTAGCAGGGTCTAGATTTCACGAAGCACCTGGTTTCCTTTGCAATTCTTCCCAGAGAAAGCAGCAAAATTTTAAAAGGATGGGGGCGGGGAGATGTTGAGGAGCACTAGATCTGCTCTAAAGTGCCTTCCCAAGTAAGTGACACATTGCTGGTTGTGAGAGGCTGAGGCTTTCCCTAACAAAATTATTCACGATTTCAGAATAGCCACTTAATTCTAGGCAAAGCCCATTAATGGAAAATGCTGCTCTCAGGACCCCTGAATAACATGCAGAACTACTCTGTGGAGGCTTGTCAAAGCCTCTCTAACTTCGTGAGGGGTGGACAGGCCCTCACACAGACTCCATCAAAGGCCTCCTTCAGCTAAGTTTTTGCCATGTTTTTGACCGAACCCAGGGCTATTTGTTATTCTGCCTCCTGCAGCATCTGACATCCAGCGGAAAACCACTGGGAGGACAAAATTCCAGGTCCCCAAAAATGTAAAACCGAGTCCACTCTTTTTCTAACCGGTCACAAATCACCGTAGGAATTAACACATAAACGAGGACAAAAGGCAAGATGTTGTATCCAACAGAGCCTCAGAGAAAATTTTTTAAAAGATCAGACAGAGTGGACTGACAAGCAGGGGTAAACCTGATGGTCAGAGGCTGAGCCGAGCGCCACACAAAGCAGTCGGCATCCACCACGCCCCCCCAGCCGCCTCCCATGCCAGGCGCCTCATCCACCCAATGTCAGTCTGAGGCCTGGCTCTTTCTCCCCCTAACTCCAGAACAAGCCTTTTATTTAAGCTGTAAGCAAATGATCCTTCCAATTTATTCCTCCAAAGAAGACAAGAGCCTGGTAGACAGCAGCCTAGGAGCAAATCAGCAAGGCCCTGGCACCATTTGCCAGCATTGGCCGTCAGAAAAGCGGGGGCAGAGGGAGATAAAACAAGCTACCATCTCAAATCTCATCAGTTTTATGAACCTACTTCCCTTTTCATCTGAAATGCTTGAAAATTTCAGCATACCTAAAGACATCCAAATTCAAAAATAAAATTGTATTTCCAAAGCTAAATAAATGAATCATGGTTCACCTCTAACTCCATAAACTCTCAAAGAGAAAATGTGAACAAAAAATTAGGAATGCTTTGAAGGAGGAACGCTCTTCTTTGTGTTCTGCCTATGACTGTAGAGTTGAAGATTGGGACAATCTGGGGAAAAAATTTTAAATGTCTGTAATTATAGCTGCATGTTCAATATTGCTCTAGATGCTGTGTTTAGAAATTGAGCGACTCTTATTCCCCTAGCAATAATCATCTGAGGTCTGTAAATACGAGGACTAGAACAGAAAGCATCTCCATCACTCTCTTTCCCCATCCTATCAAAAATCCAACATTACAAAAAAAGGGAAACAGTAAAGAAATAGGGGAGGGGGCAGGCCAGGAGAAATTTACCAAGTACTCTGGCAAAAATGAACATCAACAAAATCCTTAGAAGAATTATTTTCTCCTGAGTCACCACATATTTAGGCAACCATACTCTGACCGAGCACAATTTTCTGTGAAAGGAAAACACAGCTCGTTCTGACCCACTGCTATGATGACCAGGGCACAAATTTGATAGGAGAGTCCAGTGTGATTGTTTAGGGTTTCTGTTCTTTACCGTGGCAGTGTGGAGGTCAAGGGTGGGTGGAGAAAGGAGAATTCAAAAGCTCTCAACAACAGCATTCACTGCTGCCGGAGAAAAATCCAAGCGCCAAAACCAAAGTCATGTAGGATGATGCAATTCACGATCTGCCAAGCGTAAGAAAAAGAACAGTTTTCCAAAGCAGGCACTATTTGAGAGCAACCATAGGTGAAGGATAGAATCAAGAGAAGATACGAGTGACTACCAAGATAACACATTAGCATTTGTTTTTAAACTGGTAAGAACAGCTACTACACTTGATCTTAGCCAAAAGGCCGAGAAGCAATACCATTTGTTTTTAGAAATTACTTTTGATTGCTGACTTGTTTTAATGACAAAAAATCATAAAGGTAAGATTACCTTGAAGCTCTAATGCTTAAGAGTCCAGGCAGGCTCTATTTATTATTTTAATTATTTAAATTTAGGAATCTATTTGAATATATTATTTAAATTCACTATTCTGTTGCCTAGTCACTCACAATCCATACTTTGATGATCTTAACATCTCAGTTTGAAATAGCATCAAATTGTTACAATAGCAGGAACCACCCAACACAAAGCCAGGCAAGTGAATAAAACCCTGGGCGGTCTCCACTGTCACTTTACTAGGGTCACCACAGCACAGTCCGGGGAGATGCTGAGTTCAAAAGAACTCATGTCTGATGGCTGGTGCCTCTTAGAGGATTCGCCTGAGTATCAGCCATACCAGGGTTTATCAACACAAACCACTGTCCTGCCATGGCCCTGCATGGTCTGTTTAACACTAAGTACCGGTACCGCAGGGGTGGGTGGCAGGTGACACAGAAGATAAGTCCATTAAGTACCTTCATCTCTTCGATTAGAAGAACTAGAGAGATGATTTCAACTACATGTGTGAGAATTAGAATTTTCCATTTCGTCTGTGGAAGCACTAGATTATTTTGTTGTTTCCTCCACATACTGCACACTACCTAGGCTT